AATTCAGAAAGCCACACTGTGGAAAACAAAACACATTATACACTTCCTGTCACAAAACAGGCCATACAGAGGAAAAGTGCTGGTCAGTAGGCAAAGGCAGACCACCACCCTACTTCATAAAACGCAGGCAACACTCTAATGACACAAACCAGCGCTCCGCAAGTAACCAAAGCTCAAATGCATCTAAAACTCTTACTGAGTTAACAACTTTGGTCACTCAAGGCCTTCAGCTATTAGCGTCATTTGCTAGTCGGGTAGCAGCCCAATAGCAAAGAGCTGAATAGTTTAACATCTAGATTTAACCTCTACCTTCATATAGGCCTAGTTTTTAAAAAGACTAGATGAAACAAAAAGGCATTAAAAATCTACATAAGAAACAGCGAATGCACATCAGCCCTGAAAGAAAAAAAAAGAAAAAAAAACAACAACAACGTTTCATATTCAAACGTATTGACACGAGAACGAGCAGAGTCTCTTCAGAGACCAGAAACAATATAATTTCATTTATATTCTTAAATATAATATAATTGTATTATAACTCGAATTATAATATCCATTATATTACAATCGCCAAGCAGGGCATTAATTGGAGAAGTTTGACATTAATCCTTACAATTCGATTTCATTGACCTACTACCCAGTGCCAAAAGGGCGGAGGTGTGCTTTTATTTTTTGCCTTTAAAAAACACTCCCAGAAGTGTGGCACAGGTAATAGCAAACTGATAAAGGAAGCACATTTACAAGGAGGGTGTGAACTAAACATCAGACAGAAGTACCACAGCCTTTGCAGGTCACAAGAGATCTGCACTAACCAAATGTGTGAACAACACCAGAAAACAGCAAATGCTAAGCAGCAGGCAACAGCGAAACAGGTGAAATAATTTATGCCCACAGATCTGACTGTAATGAAAGCAACTTGAGGTAAAGCCAGAGAATGTCCCCAGCAGAACTGGGATCTCTAATGCTCATGACACAGCAGACTGTGAAGGCTCGCAGCTTTAAGGTGTCACACACTGCACTGAAACAACAGCAATAATTCAGACCTGGTCAATGAAACTCGGTTTCATGTGACAACCGGAATTAAAATTGCAATGGCCATGATAATGGAGCAAGCTAAATAATCCCACATGTCTGAATTTGAAACTGTTGAAAACATCAGAATTAACTGTGGTTCTCTCTGCACTTGTTTCTGTCAGGCTACTTCTGCAATTCCTCAGGGGACGGATGCCAGGACGGCCGGACCTCACGATTGTTAGAACATAACCTGAGATTCGGGAGATGGGTGAAAAGACACTTCAAAGGCCATTTACATCTCACAATAGCACATCACTACATTAGCATGGCCTCCCAGTTTAGAACTGGAACTAAAATTTGCAACACAATTGCTATCCAGTCGATTCCACCCATCTCCTAGACATGAACACTGAACACACTCCTCCATCACTACACCCTCACAGCATCATCACCTGGAATAGATCAAGTCTATTCAGACTGAACACTACACATCATGAGAAGATAAAGATGACATAGAGTCCAAAAGTGTCACTTCACTAAAGATCTATTGTGCATCTTCACACTAACAGATCCAGATAGCTTCACACACATAGGATGGTAAAGCTGATCGCATGATGACCGTCTAACAGAGACACACATAGCATACGCTATTCACAACACTCTGCTAACTCATGGGAAAACACTGTAATATACATATGAATGGCTGCAGTCACAAATCAATGATGCAAAAACAAAATTAAAGCAGAGGCAGACCTGCTATTAAATTTAAGAATGTTTAAACTTTCTGATTGTTGTTAGGGTGGTTGGAAGGTCAGAGGGCCCCTGATTTCTCAACAACCACTAATAACAGAAACATCATAACAAATAGATCTGAAGTGTGAGCGCTTCAAACAATTACAGAATTTACAATTCAACCCTGTCATTGACTGTGACTTAGCCAACAACAACAACACACACACACACACACTCTCTCTCTCTCTCTCCCTCTCTCTCACACAAACTATCACACTCACACACAGACGCACACACACACACACACACACACACACACACACACACACACACACCCTCACACAAACACACAATCTCCATTCATGTTCCAAGTCACTTCTTAGATTGCATAAGTGGCTTACATTGGAAGATTCCTGAACAAACAGTGATTCTTCATATTTTTTTTTATTTTTGAATATTATTGTTATTACAAGACGTATTGATGCATACCATTTATTTGATTGCTTTGATTACACTGACCTCTTGCTGCATTTCCTTTGAATAATTCAGACCAAAAAAAATATATATATATTTAAGAATTGGATATTTAATATGAGACAAACTTACCATTCAGGACCTTGAGAAACAAATGAGACAGATGTACCATTCACACCTGCTGACAAGAACATGGTATTTTACATTGAATGACATGATTTTGTTTTGTTGCATTATGCGTTTCTATGGATTTCTTCGCGAGTTCAAGTTCATATGTGTTCAATCGAGAAGCGGACATTTAAGATGCTTTTCAGGTGTCTCACACAAGGCAGTGTGAAGCCAAGGAGAACACCTTCATCCACTGAGGTCTGTCCAGACAGCCGCACCGTTGGGAGGTGACAGGATTGGTCAAGAAGGGACAGATTATCATCATGGGGAAGGTGCCAGGGAAGCGGAAGTTTCTCCATGAAGGAATGACACGTCAACTGAACAAGTCAAAAGGTCCAGATTGACTATATGAACTTTGCCTACATCACAGGAAGAAAGCCTGAACGCACTCATCCACCTGCTGGACTCAAGCTATATACACCTGGTGAGAACAGGTGTTCTGCAGGTGAACACAGCCCTCTGAGCTTCTACAGATGCTGACATTGCAAAGACAATTTTGAGTTACATCTCAAGGATTACAACAAACGTCTTACCGCGTGACCCCGTAAGTTTTCATTTGAATTTGACCCACGGGGTCAAGGAGGGAAATCTGTAAGACCGTAAAACTTGTTGAAGAGAAAATATCTGACCACAAAACTTGTTGAAGAGACAATATCTGACCACATGGTCTATTGAGACAAAGGACCTTGGCAAATGAACATTTGGCCTTGTAAGAACTGGTTGGAGACACTGTCTTGACCACATGGTCTATTGAAACAAAGGAATTTGCTGAAATAGCATTCGACCTCCCCCTCACGCAGTCTCACCTGATTTACATTTCACCCAGTAACAGCTGAAACTCACATAAGAATATATGTATGGTTTGATGTGAATGATTATCATTGAGTATTATGTTTGGTATCATTTGAAATGTCTCAGGAATGAGTGGTACAAATGTCTCATTCCAAATAAGTAAAACAAAAGGTAATAAGGTTTTTTAGAAGTTTAGAGAAACTGGCACCAAGAAAGGTAGCAAATGGCCTTTCTCCCCTACCCCCCAAATAAGGTGTAACCTGAATGCAAATTACCATTGAAAAGAAGTTCTGGCTATTTAATGGAAGGCAGCAAGGGATCGTGGCTTCTTCTGTATTTCAGATCAGCCCGTGAGGTTTAGCTCATGTAGTTCATGTTGGGTTCGCATCTATTTCTCTAATCCTAAAACATTTGATGATTTGCATTGATTATCTTTCAATTGATTATGGAATTGTTAAAATACATTTACCTGACATAATAAATTGTTATATTTGATTATTCTAACAGACTTTGACTTTATTTTCATTGGAGTTAAAACGAATAGTCAAACATTAACGTATACTTAATGATGCACAGATATCATTAAAACACTTTCATTCTATGGAGTCAGATGAAACGAGTTAATACATAAGACAAAAAGTATTGCATTTAATTAAATATCCCTTTGCCATTGGAAGAGACGGAACGCGCATGTGACCTTCACCGCTAATTTGAATGCCGCCCTTGGATCGAATTAGCAGGCCTTACATTCCCGACCAAGTATTGACTATTGAGTGCATAACTGAACATAATTATTTGAAGGTTGACTCTTTTTTTTTTATTAAAAACACTTCTTTTATTGGTCGGATGAAATATGCTAATTTTTTTAGACAGGAATTTTGGGTTTTCATGAGCTGTATGCCAAAATCATCAGTATCAAAACAATAAAAGACCTGAAATATTTCAGTTGGTGTGCAATGAATCTAAAATATATGAAAGTTTAATTTTTATCATTACATTATGGAAAATAATTAACTTTATCACAATATGCTATTTTTTTGAGAAGGACCTGTATATACTGTATATTTGTGTGTGTATGTGTGTGTGTATACTGTATCATTTTATTTTATTTTTTACAAGAGGAAATCTGTACGAATCTGTAAATTTATATATAAATATACATTGTTATATTGTGGTTTTCATAAAGATACATTTGAATTCCTCCATTCCTGACTAGTTAAGGTGGTGTGATAGATACTGTGCTTGGCTAATTTAGCAGAGCTGTTGGAAGCTGTAGTGAGAAGAGCTGCCCAGCGCTCCCAGCTGTTACACCAAACACACTCAGATACTCACAGAGACTGAGATGGCACAGAGAGATCATTAATTACTCTTGCTATTATGATGTTGTCCACCCACACCAGGGGCCAGAGAGAACTAGTAAACTCAAGAGACCTTGACTCACTGACTCCCACTAACTATTTGGATTGCACACTATTTCTGAGAGAAGCACAGTACCAAATGTTATATTCATATACTGTGTGGGGTCTAAATGTCAACAACGACTAGTGAAAATGAAGCTTTTTTTTTTTTTTGCCGCTGAAAATTCAGCTTTGCCATCACAGGAAAAAATTACATTTAAGAATATATTCAAATTGAAATTTCTATATAAAATAGAAAACACTATTGAACATATGGAATCGTAATAATTGGAAGAAAAAAATCAATTTTACTGTGTTTTTGTTTAAATAAATGCCTTGGTTGAACATAAAAGACTTTCAAAAGCCCCCAAACTTTTGAACAGTAGTATGCCTTGTATTTAAAGTTTTCTCATCTCTCCACAGCTCTCTCTACTGGCAGAGGTGGGGTTTGGTGGCTCTCTTCTCTATGTGGATCCCTGTGATGCCTCGTTTGGGAATAAGACCTTTGGGGTAACCCTGAACCCAGGTGGGAACCCGTTTTCTCAAGAAAACTCCAGAGTTGGTAAGTGTCTGCACCAGTGTCTCTTGTGAAATTGTAAAGATGGTATTAACACTTTATACTCTCATCAAAAACTACCTTTATTTAGATCATCCAGAAAGTAATTAAGGAGTGCAATGAATGCATGACATAGGGCAGCTAAGTTAGACAAGTGGAGAGAAAAATATTTTTGTATTTTATCACTTTGCTTGACAGTGGTTATGGAGAAACTCATGAATCAATAAAATAGTTTCCATTTTCCTTTTTACGGTAGAGTCTTTCTTCAATATTAATAATAATAAAAGAAATTGCATCTTTTCTTCTCATGTGGTCCAGCTTTACTTTCAAGGCAAATACTTTTAATTAGGCTGATCATTTTTACAACAAGAAAGAAATCACATCAGGAAACAGTGAATGAGTGAAAGATAATTACTGTTTTGGACGTCTTTGGTGCCTTACACTTAGACTACCTCGACGCTAATTAAAAATGTTTCATTTCAGACTCTTTTTTTTTTTCTTCTTCAAATGATGAAAACATTTACATAACTAGCTTATGGAATATAGAATAACTTAGACTATTCATCTAAAAACAAAAATGATCCACTGATGACAATGCACCTTTGTGCAAGCAACCGTATATGCTGTCCATGGTGCTGAAAGTCAACTGTTCATGCAGCTGTGGTGCTGAAATCAAATGTCCTACAGTTTAAAGAAGTTTAATGTTTTTCTGTATTTAAGCATTCACTGATGACAAGCATCAATCAAGTCTAAAACTTATAGTGTGGGCGGTCCATGGTGCTGAAAGTAAAATGTGAATATGCAGCTGTCCGTGGTGCTGAAAATGAAACTACTGTATTTAAGAGTGCTGCTCATGACAGAAGACCTCAGTGCAGCCCTGGCTGACCCTGGCTCTCTGCAGCGCAGGATCACTGGGACGTGTCATTACTGGAGTGATAGCATGGGCTTACAGCAGGCCACGGAGTCAGGGCACAATGGGGCCTGCAAACAGATGTCTTAGCAGATGTTTCGCGCCTGTTCTCTCTTCAGCAAAGCCCTTTGTCAGAGCACTCTGCAGGAAACGAGAACCTGGTGAAGTTGCTGAACACTGTGATGTAAATTATTCAGCTGGACTATTGTCCTTGCAATTGTTTTGTTTGGCAATGAGAGAATATATGCAATGTGCTCTGGTGAACCAATACACAGAACAGCAGAGGTCAGACTCATGTTATATTTATGCTGTCTTTATGATTCATAACGTAAGTTTACATTTTGCTTAGTACTTTTGGACTTTTGTGTCTGTTTGTGTGCATATTATATATGCTGCAGACCATGATCAGTGGCTGTCGATGCGAATCCATGACTTTGTTGCATTCAATCAAAAACAAAAATTTCATCATAGAGAGGTTCGATAGATGTTGATTCATAATTTCTGAATATTGCTTTCTTGGTTTTTCCAATATGAATTAATTATGAATAATGATTATTCAAAACCCCTACTGGTAAACATATATCTATCAGACCTAGCTAATGAAAAGTGTGGTAAAAAATTGTAAAAGTTCATCTTTGCTTTGTTTAGGCCTAATTATCCGCTGTACAGTAATAGCTGTGTTGTTTGCATTTTAATTTGAAATCTCTTTGTTGTACTTGCACACTACCTACTGAGACAGAAGTAGTTAAATTAAAGCAAAGGCCTTAGATAACATATTCTTACTTAGTCCCCTGCTAGATAACATTATTGTAGATCCATTGAGATGAATATTTACTTTGGAAAGAATCAGCTACATCTGCAAAAATTAGCAAAGCCTTAAGCCAGACACTTTAAGTGATAGAAACTTAATTGATAGTTTTGCCTGTTGAATTGTCACGGTTCTTTTTTATTTTCTCCCTCCCATCCTGATACTCTGTAATTTGTTGAAGTAATATTCAGAGTTCAGTACAACTTAAGCTCAATGCACAGCATTTTTAATGTTGATTACCACAAAAAATTATTTTGACATTTGAATATATACAATTTAATATATACAATAAAATATTCAGAGTTCAGTACAACTTAAGCTCAATGCACAGCATTTTTAATGTTGATTACCACAAAACATTATTTTGACTTGACCCTCCTTTAAAAATATCTGGATTACAGTGAGATGCACACAATAAAAGTGAATGGGGCCAATCCTTAAACGTAAAATTACTCACTCTTTGAAATGTATAGCCACAAGATTATGAAGAATAACATCATTGTGAAAAAATCGCTTAATAACCTTTTCTGTGCAGTTCCCTTTCAAGTGGAACTCAACGCTGCGTCATGGTTTGACACTATGGGAACACTTCACGTGAGCCGGTGTCTGAAGCATGTGTCTATACACACTAGGGCCGTGTTCGATACATCGATACGACGATGTATCATCACACACTACTTGTCAAAACGAGTATCGAGACAGCCGCTTCTGTATTGATTCTGCGCACGTGCGCATCAGTCAGAGCCGATCCTCCCTATACGCACAATACGCAAGTTGCGTAGGGCCCCGCAAATTACTCAAGGACCCGCCTCCCCCTCGTGTCAAAGCACGTCAATCAAAGTTTACAACATCGATGAGATAATTAAACGGAACTATCCTTCTGGTCACGAAAATAGAGACTGAGAACAAAAAAAGCCATTAGAGTGAATTGCGGGAACAGCGATCAGGCAGACTTGTGTTCTCTCCTCTCCAAGTTTGATGTCAGCAAAGAACAGTAAAGTTAAGTTGATGTGGATCTCTCTCTCTATCTGTCTGTCTAACCTAGCAGCAGTGCATCTTTTGGTCTTTCTGTGTCTTGCTTGCTAATGTCGGCCACTTCCAGGGCTGTGTTCTGTGCCTTTGTGCCTGACAAAAAGAAAAAGGGAGATAGAAATATTTATTACGTTTGATAATACAAAGGGCAACGGTGTTTGTTTATAAACTGCAGCTCGGAAAAAGATAACCGTGTCGTGCGTTAACATGAGTTCATATGCGCGTGCACGAAATGAAACGCGCACTTTCCAGTAAAACATCTATGGGGACCAGTTACCAGTACAATATGGGCGTTATGGCACTCCTCATTCATTAGGCGCTTATACTTGACAATGACAATTGACAACAAGACAATGATTATCTAGTCTCCAAGTCAGTTTAGTTACAACTCTGCAATAAAGCAAGATGGAAAGCAATCTATTGACATTGACTATATTGCATTTAAAATGTTGATTGGCTGGACATACTGGTCAATATGGATGCACATCCCTCAGTAAATAATAACCATCAATTATCAATTATTGCTTTTATCATTTAAAACACAGTGACATGCAATGGCAAGCCTTTAGCTTTCATTAATTCACAGGATGCAGAGGAACATAACTGGGTTGCCTGATATCAAGACGCGTAATCCCTCAATCAGAGCTTCTGCGCAATACGGAAATATCTGATAAGTGGTTTACTTACTTTTCTCAACCTGGCAACCATGTGCATGAACTCTGTCTCCACTATGGATAAAAGTGCTGGCTTTCTGAAAACACCAGTAAGCTTGCAGTTTAGAGACCTCTTGTTCGATATTCTAGAAAAGTGAAATACATCAAGTTTGTGTTTATTTACGGGCCTGAGAGAGATTACCTATATTGTTATGCAGTGCTACAGAGGCCCTTCTTAATACAAAGTGCAACTGCCTGCTCTGCCTATAGTTATCAATGGCCCTGGCCAATAGTATGCAGTGTTTAATAAACAGCTGTAATACTAAATTCTGCTGAGTTGAAATTTATTGCAGACCCATATCGTGATATGGTATCGTGGCCTCTGTATCAGGATACGTATCGTGACTTAGTTGCCGATACACAGCCCTAATACACACCAATCTATGATTGGCCGAACATATGGATGTCGTGACGTAGCATAGTAAACAGACGAATTGCATGTCGTCAGCTTCTTTGTCTTCAGAAGCCGAATGTTTGTTGAGTGCGTGTCTGTGAAAAACCACACAATTGTAAACTTATGTGTGAATGACATTAGTGACAGGAGTTAATCTGTATAATCAGAATATAGAGAGCGTGCGATGCTGTGGCCCGGCTTTATTATGAGGATGATTCACAGCATCTCTGTGTTGTTTATTTGGGAGCAGAGCTGGCTCAGACAGTTCTTGTGGGGGCTGGCTGTGTTAATGTGAGCGTATCATTAATAAGCTCCTCTCCCGTCTGGCTCCCATCTCGAGGGATGAGGTTCAGACATCTGTGTCCTGTGATTCGATATCCCGTGTTTGACGAGGCAGTGTCGTGGATTTTGGTCATGTGGATTGCAGTTTAAGTAAAAGAGTTAAGCGGAGCTTGAGACGGTTGTTCCCTTTCTCTCACTCTATATCCCAACCCAACATTTTGGATTCGGAAAATCGCTCTCTGAATTCTTCTGATCCAAATAGAGTCCTGTTTATAAAAAATAATAAATAAATGCAAGATGTGTGCTTCCATGCGTGACCTATTGATGTTGCTCCAGTGGGTGTGACAGATTTCGCACAAAATTATATGTGTATTATATTATAAACAGGGGTGCACATAACTGGTGCACAGGTGCGCATGCATGGTAAAAATAAACGATGCGCAACAGAAAATGTGGAGGGAAGCGCTTTTTATTGCCAATATTTTTGGGGACAGTTCGAAAGCGCTCGAACACCGAATTGAAATACTGAAATACACCGAATAAAAGACTAAACGAACGAGCGCACAATTATAGTGTTATAAATATAAAATGTAACAATTTATAATAAAAAAAGTACATTTACAATGCTAATAACCATGGAAATGCGTCATTACAGTCTGTAAATATCTCTTAACAACACATCTGGTAAGAATCTATTCCATTAAATCACATTACACATTAATAAACCACAATAAATAAATAAAATGGATTTTTTTGAATTGGCATTGATTTGCCACCATATTCCTCTTTCTCGTTTACTTGCACTTGAATGGACACATACACACAAAATTATGTCATAAGTGTTGAGAAACAGTTGAGAAAGAAACC